GCACGTTTCTGTGTGTCTGAACAACAGTACTTCAAGTCTCATTACTAATGAGTCATTAGCACTGGATTAAGTGACACTAATTATACTGCCGTTCCCAGAGAATATACTGGAAGTGCAGTAACATAATGTCACATGATTTCTTCCCCAGTGTGCTTAAAATGACTCCAGTTTCTGGAACTGAAAGTCATTGAACATTTTTTTTTAAAAAACCCAAATGACACCTCTCTCTCTCTCTCTCTCTCTCTCTCTGACCCTTTGCTTTTTCTGTGTGTATACACACACTATCTGTTTTGTTTTCATCTTCAGTACCCTTCTCCTCATAGGCACTGACTCTGTGGGAACTCCAGGGCCAAGCTCCCCTCCCCCAGAGCCTCCTCCCTGCCAGCAGCCCCGCCAATCAACTCCTTCCTTTCCTTCCCAGCGCCTCCTGCCCACCATGGATCAGCTGTTCTGCGGCGTGCAGGAGGCGCTGGGAGGGATGGGGAGGAGCAGGAATGGTGCTTGCTCAGGAGAGGGATGGGACTGGGTGGGAAGAGGCAGGGCAGGGGCGGGAAGATGCGGAGTGGGGTTGGGAGGTTGGGGGAAGGGGTAGGGTGGGGGCAGGGCCTGGGGTGGGAAGAGGTGGGGTGCAGGCTTGAGGGAAAGGGTGGAGTCAGGCTGCGGCCTAGGACTGAGTGGGGGTTGAGCACCCCAGGGAAAGTTGGAAGCTATGCTTCTAGAATTGCTCAGCTTTCTCCACAGGACTGACTGCTTTCTCCAAGCCTTTCAGAGGGTAGCAGTGGGAAGCACACTTGATTGGTGCTTCAGAGGGAGAGAGTCAGCCAAATGCCAGCTGCTCTCTTTTCCCCTGCTGTGTGCAGCAGGAGTCTGTAATTGGCGAGCTCCTATCTAGGAATCCAGGAGCCACCCAGAAATCCAAGGGAAAAGCTGTGAGTTCCTGGAAAATGTAGAACAGGTGGGGAGGTGCTGAGGTGTCTTCCCTAATTCTGGGGTGCTCCAGAGGCTGGTGCAGCCCCAGGTACAAGTTAGAGCAGCCCCAAAGTGGCCTATGCTGTGGGCTTTGCTGCAGTCTAGAGTAACTGGAGCACAATGTCCTCTAGCCATCCCCCTTCCTGATCTGCTCCTAGCCATGTCCCTGCGCCAGGGACTGTGTGTGAGGGTGGTGAAGGGCTCTTGGCCCTGTGCTGGGATAATTTCTTAGAGGGGTATTGCAGACATTTCATGCTGTTGCAGTTGCTTAAAAGGGCAGAATCTGTCCCCACGCCTCACAATACCCACTTGAGGTGCTGTAGGTGAGCAGTGTCCCTCTTCCAAGAGTCTGCTCCAAGTGTTGAAGAAGAAGGCTGCAAGCTGGGAGTGTGCACAGGAATTAAGTGGAGCTGTCAGGGACAGTTTGTGAGGGGCGTGACAGGATAGAAGAGACAGATGGGTGAGGAGAGGAAGAATTTAGTCGGGGCTGGTCCTGCTTTGAGCAGGGGGTTGGACTAGATGACCTCCTGAGGTCCCTTCCAACCCTGATCTTCTACGATTCTAAGTGCCAGTGGCTGCAGTAGGCAGCTAGCTGAGGTTTCGGTAATGACAGAGAAGAGACAATGAATCTGCGAAGTTACAGTTTAGAGAAAGATGCACTATATCTGTCTTAGAGGAAGGCAAGTCCTCAGTATTCTTGCCAGCAAGTTAAAGAAGTATGGATTGGATGAATGGACTATAAGGTGGATAGAAAGCTGGCTAGATTGTCAGGCTCAATGGGTAGTGATCAACGGCTCCATGTCTAGTTGGCAGCCAGCATCAAGCGGAGTGCCCCAGGGATCAGTGTAGGGGCCGGTTTTGTTCAACATCTTTATTAATGATCTGGACAATGGGATAGATTGCACCCTAGGCAAGTTTGCGGATGACACTAAGCTGGAGGGAGAGGTAGATACACTGGAGGGTAGGGATACAGTCCAGAGTGACCTAGAATTGCTCAGCTTGGAGGGTTGGGTCAAAAGAAATCTGATGCAGGACAAGTGTAGAGTCCTGCACTTAGGACAGAAGAATCCCATGCACTGCTACAGACTGGGGACCAACTGGCTAAGCAGCAGTTCTGCAGAAAAGGACCTGGGGATTACAGTGGATGAAAAGATGGATATGAGTCAGCAGTGTGTTCTTATTGCCAAGAAGGCTAACGGAATATTGGGCTGCATTAGTAGGAGCATTGCCAGCAGATCGAGGGAAGTAATTATTCCCCTCTATTTGGCACTGGTGAGGCCAGACCTGGAGTATTGCGCCCAGTTTTGGGTCCCCCACTACAGAAAGGATGTGGACAAATTAGAGAGAGTCCAGCAGAGAACAACAAAAATGATCAGGGGCCTGGGGCTTACGACTTATGAGGAGAGGCTGAGGGAACTGGGCTTGTTTAGTCTGCAGAAGAGAAGAATGAGGGGGGTTTGATATCAGCCTTCAACTACCTGAAGGGGGGTTCCAAAGAGGATGGAGCTAGGCTATTTTCATTGCTGGCAGATGGCAGAGCAAGGAACAATGGTCTCAAGTTGCAGTGGGCAAGGTCTAGGTTGGATATTAGGAAACACGATTTCATTAAGAGGGTGGTGAAGCACTGGAATGGGTTACCTAGGGAGGTGGTGGAATCTCCATCCGTAAGAGGTTTTTAAGGTCAGGCTTGACAAAGCCCTGGCTGGGATGATTTAGTTGGTGTTGGTCCTGCTTTGAGCAGGGGGTTGGACTAGATGACCTCCTGAGGTCTCTTCCAATCCTAATCTTCTATGATTCTAAGTCATGACTTTCAGAGCACGGTCTGAGCAAAGAGCATGCAGCTGTCTGTGTGACCAGGCCAAGCCATCTGTTAAGAACAGTTTCCATATGGAAATTGGTGTATGTGAGACAAAAATCTCAGGGTGGTTGGAACTTGGCTTTATATTGTATGTGAAATACAGTTAAGTCCACGGGGATTACTAGTGTGCTGAATCAGATGGGGCAGGACCAGACTCTGAGGGTAACAGGCAGTTCTAGCCATAGCTTGTAAGATGAAGGTCCTTAACCCCTCTCCTTAGCTAACATAATGTTATATATTATCTTTATACTAAAATACATTTTTATTTTCAGTCTCATGACCAATTATTGATCTTCTGAATGATTCCATTAACGCGTTAGTATAAAATGACACAATTGGGACAGCACGACAGGCCTTTTACCCTATAGATCAGCTACATTCTGCATAGATTTGCCAGGCGTCTGGTTTTTGACCAGAAAACGTGGTCAAAAAGGGACCCTGGTGGCTCCAGTTAACATTGCTGACTGGGCCATTAAAAGTCCGGTCTGTGGCGCAGCACCTGCAGACGCAAGGGCAGCGCATGGAGCCTCCCTGGCCACCCATGCATCTAGGGGCTTCAGGGACCTGGCAGCTGCTTCTCGGAAGCCGTGGTAAGCGCCGCTGGGACCTCAAACTCCGCACCCCAACCCCGTGCCACAGCCTGGAGCCGTCTCCCACACCCTGATCCCCTCATTTCTAGCCTCACCTGGACCCCGCACTCCCAGCCCAGAGCCCATACCCCCCCCCACCCCAACCCCCTGCCCCATCCTGGAGTCCTCTCCCATACCCCAAACCCCTCATCCCTGGCCCCACCCCAGAGCCTGCACCCCCAACTGGAGTCCTCACCCCCCTCCTGGATCCCAACCCCCTGCCCCAGCCTGGTGAAAGTGATGAGTGTGGGGGAGAGCAAGCAATGGAGAGGGGGGGATGGAGCAAGTGGAGATGGGGCCTCAGAGAAGGGGCAGGGCAGAGTCAGGGCCTCAGGGCAGGGGTGGGGAAGGGGGCAGGGTACGGGTGTTTGGTTTTGTGCTATTAGAAAGTTGGCAACCCTAATTCTGCAGTCAGAGCCGTCCCTTGGGTACAGCAAATCGGGGCGACTGCTCCGGGCCTCACGCTTTGGGGGGCCCCACGGGCCAGAGCGATTGGCCGGCGCAGCTGGTCCTGGAAGTGATAGATTCGTCACTTCCAGCCTGGGCCCCGCATCCCCCTAGTGATGGCCTGTCATATGCTGTCTTCGTACTGGGCATGAATTTTAAATCTCCAAGAGATTTACAAAACAAGTCAGGTGTGACCTGGTGCCTCTGCTTGCTTGCTTTCTCTGCCTCCCTTGTCAGCTGTTGCTCCTTTGTTTCCCTGCTGTGCAACCAGAGAGGCAAAGAACAGGGAGCTAGGTTCCTGGCAGGGGGAATCTGTCTAGTAGTCAGAGCTATATTCCCTGGTGACAGAGGACAGCATTGCAGGTAAAACTGCCTAACAATTCAGAACCTTGGGTTCAAGTTCAGTATTCAGTGAGGAAAGATGAGATTGGCCTGGTCACCTAGTTGGAGCTGCTAGCCAGTATGGAATAGATTTAATTTATTATTTGATGTATCTCATTAGGAGGCATAGTCGCTTCAAAATTAAATATTTCAGAGCAGTATTAAAGTTATATCTAGAAGGTCTAGAAACCTCTTCTCTCCAGGTGCTCTACCCTGACACTAGAAGTGCTCATACTGACTGTCCCTATTCTGTATTTCTGGTGTCTCGGTGCTCTTTGGGAAGGCCTCCTCACTTCCAGCACTGCACTGAGAATGCTTAGTTCCCCCCTTTGGGAGCCATTGCAAGGCTTTTCTGTTTAGTCACCTTTTTGCCTGATGAGCTGGCCTCGAAGGGATGGAGGGCACCTGATTTTGTTTGCCTGGGGGTACTTTGTGAGGACCCTTTAAATGACAGTGTGTCTGCTGAGTTATGCTTTGATCTATGTTTAATAATTATGGGCATGTAACTGTTGGTTGTGGTCGGCCTGGTTTAAACATTACAAATAAATCTTGTAACAAGATTCAATATTTTAGCATTTTGGCTGAACATGAAAACACCAGTAAACATGAAAAAATGAGTATTTTAGTACAGTGCCTGTTTAGCAGGAGTATTCTGGGTCAGAACTGGCTTGCCGTCCTATACCAGACTGACTTTTCTCCTTTGTTTGTTATTGCAGGCTTTTCAGTCTATCCCGGCACCCCTTCCCAGCTCGTTGCCATGGTGCCAACACTTCCAAGATTTCCTGCCACTTTATTTCCTGTCCAGCTCCCTTTCGAAAACTCTTCACCAGTCCAGAACAGCGGACATTTACAAACCAGTCCATCAATAACGCAGACTTCCCTTCAGAAACATTCCCCAGCGTCCTCACCCAACAACAGCTGCTCAGAAACCTTAGGGGAGCACCCACAACCTCCAAGTCCAGGTGGGGAATTAACCCAGGCACTGGAAATTTGCACCCAAGGACATTGTGCAAATCATGAAAGCTAAAATCCGTATGATTTTTGATGTGTTTTTTTGTTTTAAAAGCTTAGAAATAAAGTTTTAAACTCATTTCCCTACTAGTTTGAGATGATGGCCATGCTATTTCCAGTGCTAAACAAGTAATCAGAGGCTTGTTGATGTGGGGGGAACAGAAAGTAAATGTTAGATTAAAATAAAAAAGTTGAGTTACAGAGTGTAGGGAACATGGTGGTTTCCAGGAGAGGGACGGTAAGAAGGAACTGAGTGATATGGCTTCCGAAGGTGATAGATGCGTCTGCTTAGCCGAGGAGGAAGTCTCTGTGTTAGCAATCTCTGTTTTCACAGAGGCACATGGCCCTGCCTTAAAAGGGCAGGGATGGAAGCTCTGGTCTGGCTTTTTTTCAGTAACACACTGTGCTGTACTCATCCTCTTTAACAGTATTTCTCAACCTTTTTGATAACAGGGACTGGCTTGCTGCCTTCTGACACTGTGTCAGGGAAATCTCAGGGACTGGCGCCAGTCCACAGACTGGTAGTTGACAAACTGCTTTATAAGAAAATGTTGAGGAGTGAGAAGGAAGCAAAACCAAAGTGGCCAAAGAAAACGATAGCAAGAAAAAGAAATGAGAAACTAGGGTAAAGCAGGGAGAATTTATTATGGAGGGGATGAAAAAAGTGCAAAGGGTGAAGGCAATTAGATGCCAAGGGGAGAAAATATAAATCAGACCTTTGTCCTAGCTTCCTTTAAGTTTACTTTATATGAAGACCAGCTACAGCACAATGGTATGGTTTCCTGTTACAGTGGGAGACACCAAGGGACCCATTCAGCAGGGTATTTAAGCCGGTGCCTGACTTTAAACACGACTGATTAGGCATATTCTTAAATACTTCACTGAACTGGGGCCTAGTGGAAATTACGATGGGTGTGTTTTGTTAGGCCCTAGAGTTGAAAACTAACAACAAGTATCAAAATGTATATAAACTAAAAAAAAAGGTGTTTCTCTGACTATAGGGAAAGAGATCGAGCCATTATCTCGAAGTGATGGAAGCCCCACAAAAAAACTTTTCAGACAAGTTGCTCAAGAAGAGGAAATCACATCCAGCAAAGGTGAATTACAGGAACAGATCTGAGCAATATATTGAATTGCTGTAAGAGAAAGATGAAACATGCTAAGTGTGTTTTGGGAGGGTTTATGAAGAGTATTTTCTTTCTCCAATACGCTGCGCATTACGCATATTGTTTTTCCTCTTACTTTTGAAACCTGTCGAGCTAGAGCAGCCTGTTATTAGAGTGCTCATCTCGGCGCTGTTTGTAAAGTTAGGCAGGCACTGTAATGACCACAGCTGACCACAAGGAGGAGTAACTTACATCTCCCTGCATTCTTGGTAAATCACCTACGTTAAGTCATTCAAGCTAAATTGAGCTAGTTCTTAACCTCCATGAAACACTTGCAGATGCTTTTTCTCTAGGAGCAAAATACTCTCCCCTGCACAAAGCAGGAGTAGCTTGGCTTGGCATGGCGGGTTGGGATGGCTGTTGGAGAGGAAAACGAAGATGTCTTCACAGGGCTTCAGTAGCACTTGCTGTATTTGTGCTGTAAAGAGTGGACACAAGTTGCCAGCAATGTCATGTGTGTGAAACATGAAAGATCAAACATAGGCTCTTCTGTTCCCAGACCACAGAATTCTGTGATTTGAACTAAAGAAGTAATTCTCCATTGGTTGACACTAGTATTAGGCTTTTATCAAAGTGACAACCTGCCAGTTGTAGGGATTCTTGCCGGTTGGTTCAGTTTGTAGAGTGTGGGGGGACTGGCACATTTCTGTGACAAAACCTCCTATTACAAAAACGATATGCAGCTCTTCTTGTGTCCATTTAGTAGGCTAGCCACTAGGAGGTGACATAAATGCACACACTTGAGCAGGTTTAATTCTATCCTGCAGATAGCAATGCTGGATAGACTGCTAGACACTGACTAGCCAGTTAATTTCAGTTTTATACATTGAATGGGCATAAATCAATTCATTTTCACTTTTCACTCTTTGTAATCATTAGATTTAGAGATTAGAGATTCTTATGGTCTTTTGTGAGTCTCATTCTTCCATCTCGTTAAGTTTAAAATATTCCAGGAAGCATTTTCAAATATTAAAAAAATCTTAGAAGTTATAGAAAACTTGAAAAATGTCAAGGCTTTCTTCTTATGTCCCTCCTTACTGCTGTTTAGATGAAAGCCCACTAATGGTAGAGGCTTGTCCGAATATTTTGCCTGCCATTAAAGAAGAAGAGGGAGAGCAAACTGATGAACAGATTCCCCTTTCCTCTTTTGGCATAAGGATGGATGCAAGGACTAGAAACCTGGAAGACAGGTGAGGAAAGGGTTTAGTTTGTCATTTACAATGATACAAATAAAGCTGTCGGTGAACAGTCACTACTTTTCCTCACTTTTATACATATACAGTCCTAGGTGCTGGAACTAGGGGTGCTGGGGGTACTGCCACACCCCCTGGCTTGAAGTAGTTTCTATATCCAGGGTTTACAGTTTGGTTCAATGGCTCTCAGCACCCCGACTATAAAAATTGTTCCCGCACCCCTGTACACAGTAAATTGCAAATGCTAGCATATCAGTGGGGTATCACAGATTATGAGATTAGTTTGTGTGCATGGGCAAAGTTGGGACAGATCCATGGCTCCTTGATAGGACTGTCAGCTCCAGAGCAGAAACACCAATGACAACATTCAATCACCTCCTAGAAAAAAAGCCAAATGGAGGAGGTATGGTTGGAGGGGGCCAGACGCCCTGAGCACACCAGTGTAAGTGGATATGCAGGCTAACCAGCCAGAGAAAGGAAATAAAGTCCCAGTGACGGGCCTCTTCACATCCCTTTCACAGGGTTTCCAAACACACCAGAATAGATCAGCTCAAACTACTGGTTAATACCACCCCTGGCCCAGGCCTTTTCAGTTTAAGGCAGCTTGGAGGGGAGAAGAATGTTGTACAGAGCTCTGTATTCTAAGTTGCCCAGGTAACCGAAGTCCAATTCAGCATGTTATATACAATTGATTGTAAAAGTAAAAGATGGAGACCAAGACTGGTACAAACTGGACTGTTTACGTTAAAATAACTGGAATAAAGGGTCTTTAAAGCTCCTGCTAAAGTCACTGGCTGGCATCACTGAGCTGAATGATTCTAGAAATGGAAGGAAATGTTTGCAGTTGAAATCACCAACATGTGTTTTGATTGGTTAATGTTCATTGCCATCCATGGTCTGATATTGCCCATCTGAGCATCACTGAAAGGAACAACGGGATGCATGGACTGCAAGAAGCAAGCTCTACCATCAGGGGTTGCCGCCCTGTCAGGTTTAGGGATCCTGGGGTCCACCACAACACTGCTGGGCCTTTGTCATTCTCATCTGCACAGGCATCCTCGCCAGACCCAGTTAAAGAGAGGGAACCAGATGGCATTTCCACTTCCACTGGCTTTGGCTAAATCCTGACCAACACTTGGGATGTGAACCTGCTGTCAACCCCTCCCGAATGTCTTACTTTCTCTCCCCCCACCCCCCCGCCCAGCCCCCATTTCTCCTCTTTCCTATCTCTCTCCTTTTGCCTTCTACCTAATAAGACTGGCCAGCCAGGACAGCTCCACCTTTTGCTACACTGCTGTGATCCTGTGACTGGAAGGGCAGCTAAAAGCAATCCCTTAAACAGCCTGGTGCTGGTAAAAGTTAGCCAGGTGTTCAAGTGGCTGATCAGACTGCGCTGCACCTGTGTTTCCTCTAGCATCAAGGTTGTAAGTGAAAATCAGCCCCACAGGCAGAAGCTGCCTTTCCTATCTTTACTGTTCCTTTCCCACCCCTTTCATGTGCTTTTGCCTTGTTTTGCCTTAAAGGAGACTGGACCAGACTTCAACTACAATAACTGCTCAAGATCATCTCAACTAACTTTTTCTCTTTTCCTCCCCAAAAAGGACCGCTAAGACCATAGTTAATGCCATCTAAAAGACTGTTACACATGGGTTTTGCCTATATAAGATTTTCTGTAACTAAAGAGAAAGGGAACAGGATGCACCCTTCCCACAAAACAGCCTCCTTTGCAGTAGCTTCCTCTTTTCTTGCATAATCTTGCCTAGATCAGCCATGTGATAGTGAGGAGCCACATAACTCCTTTCACGTCAAAGCACCCTTACACTTTGTCACAGGAAGACATTCCTAATAAAATAACCTAGAATTTCCCAAGATTCAGGATTGCCAACCACAAGTGTTTAAAAATAATAATAATGAGTCAGCCTCGCACACCGCAGATTGAGATTTTTAAAATGATAATTTTGTGGTTCTTGTATTTGCCTTCTGCATTTCAGGTTCAAATGTTCCAGCTCTTCTCCACAGTCTTGAGGGCTAGAAAACGGTTTTGTTTTTTTAAATGAAAGCTGAGATTCTCACAAAATCAGAGGACTCCTGGAGCTGAAGCTTTAAGAAAAAACACCAATACTGGCAACACTGAGATGCACACTACATACATACATACTTCTCACACACACTTTCTTTCACTCACTCCTTCTTCCCTGGGGCAACCCTAATTATTCCAGAAACAGCTTTTAAATATTAGCAACTATGCATAGTTTAAAAAGCAGCAGGGCAGCAGAAAACAAGGAAGAAAAGGCTGACCCCTGTGGGCAAGAAGACTAGGGCTCATTTTTGGAAAAGCACCCTCCATTTTTGCATATATAAACACCTGCGCACACACTTTTCGAGCACGAACACTTGCACGCACAGGTGGTAGCATGTACAAGGGCAAAACCCATTCTTGCCTTTGAAGGTATCAACTTTCACACGTGGGAATTAGTGCTTGAAATGGTGTCTTCAAGTGCAAAGTTTCCTGCGAACAAGTGAAGGCCAGTTTGAGGCCCTTTGAAAATGCAGCCCCTAGTTTCCTCAAGTGATTAAGCCTATGCATAAAAAAATCACCTGGTGCCTTAAGACGTCTCTTAAGCATTAGCTACAATTATAGCCATAATTTTACTCTTCATTGAGCTTCAGAGAGCTCCAGATCAGGCAATAATGTCATCAGCAAGCAAGGATCATCCACCTGGAAGGAGGAAGTAATGATAAATACTGAGATGCTTTTCTAAAGCAAATTAAGAAACATTTCCATATGTGTCCTCAGCACGCTAGTATTTTCACATCTTACGATGTTTTCAAGATTTGCTTTCCCTGAGACTTCAGAGACCTTTTAAGTAAGCTTGTAGATACATCCCGAATAAACTACTGAAAGGTTTACCTCTGCTTCACTACCCTGGTCTGTTATTCAGAGACTTCCATTTGGCCTTCCAATACATTACAGACATTCTTTCTCTCCCTTGCCAAAGTAAGGGCATGCTGTGATATGTCGCTTTTTTCACCAAATATTGCAGACTTCTCCCTCTCACTGCATTATTTTCTGCTGGAGCTGGTGCGGGTCTGGGACAAGTGCCTGGAATAAGCAGGCTGTGCAGGATTGGAAAATAGTCCAGCTTCTCAGATTTATTTGTCTTTCAGGCATTTTCCAATGTTTTAGAAGAAATTGCAGTCTGTCTGTCTGCAAAACATATATTCAGGCTCACACAGGATATTTTCAAGGTGAAAAGTGTATCCTGTAAGGATCCAGAACCCAGGTCTGTAGGGCTCCAGGTGACCAATGCTGCCCTGCCACTCTCTGGCAGCTATGGTAGAGACATGATCAGTGCACTGTAAACCTGGGAGACTACGCATCACAGGAAGTGCCATCCATGGAAGCCTCAATTAGCAGTATCCCTGTGACCTCTGATTGGTCCAGGAGGAGCACTATTTAAGAATTCCAGGAAGCTGTCTCTGCTAGTAGGTGGATCACTGGTTGACTATTATGACAGACCTTACTCCAGTCCTGTCCTGCTCCCTTTCCTGATTCCAGCTCTAACCCTTGGCTCTGGATCCTGGCTTTTGGCCCTGGCTCCATGCACTAAGCATGGGTTCCTATGTCCTGGCCCTAATAGGTGCCAGGTTATGTTCGATTCATTGCTCGGCCACTTCCCCCTTTTAAAAAATGCAGATTACCTTTGAAATTGGAACTAGAGGTCAGCTGTACTATAATTATAAAGAAAAATAGCTGGGAAGTTATTACATTTGATGCCATCTTATTCTTTGCCTTGACCAATCAGACCAAGAATTGGTGTAAGACAGAAGACTTTTGAAGAATTTGTTGAAGAACAACTTAAAGTGGATTCTCAAATAACAGACAGCCACGAGCAGGTACTGTATTATTGGCTGTATTGATGAAACTGTTCAGCTTGTTTCTACAAGTCCCTATGGGCTTAAGTGGTCCATGGGACTTGTTCTGGTTCTTTGCACAAGGGTGAATTTCTCCCCTCACCTGTTGTTAATGCTAGAGAGGCCTAGACTAGCTTCCACAAATTAAAGCTGTGTCCCCATAAATGCACTGTGAAATGCTGTTTGCCTATGATATTGCTGACATTTTGTGAGCTGTTTAGTGTTCACAGTATCCTCCTCATCTAGGTACTTCATGGCCTATATTCTAGCCTCCTCCAGTTTATTTAAACTAAATTAGATCTCAGGATGACTCTGTTATTCCATTTGTCACCATTCCCTATCCTAAAACTGTTGGTGTTTGATAATCATGTCCCTCTTCTTTTTGTCTTTTCTAATGTGAATTTAGTGCTTCATTCTGCCTGGTGCTGAGCATGCTCATCCCAATCCTGCAAATTAAGCACATGAGTAATCCCATGTGCTTATTCAGTGAGATTGCTCACATGCTTAAAGATCAGCATGTGCGTAAGTGAATCTCCTTTGCTGAACTGGAGCCAGAGTGCTCAGCACCTTGGGCAGCATCAAACCCTTAATCCTGGTGACATGTTCTGATCTGGCTGCCCTGAAGACAGATCTTCAAATAATTCACAGAACCGGTATATCCAGTGATGAGCTGCCAAAATCTTAAACGGGTTCCCTCCTCACCCCACGAGGGGGTCGTTGCCCACTCCCGCCCCCCGGGACTGCAGCCCCATCCAACCCTCCCGCGTTCCTTGATGTCCCCCCCAGGACCGGGCAGGAGGGTCTCGTGGGCCACCGTAGTGGGTGCCCACCCCACCCCTAAGAGTCAGAGGCACCTGCCAGGGGGCAAGGTGGGGAGTCCCAGCAGTGCTTACCTAGGGCAGCTCCCAGGAAGCATCCGGCAGGTCCCTCTGGCTCCTAGGGGTGGGGGAGCATAGCTGCTCCCCCCACTGATCACATCAAAAGTGGTGCCTTAGGCGCCGACTCCCTGGGTGCTCCGGGGCTGGAGCACCCATGGGGAAAATTGGTGGGTGCAGAGCCCCCACCGGCAGCTTCCCGCCCCGCGCCCGGTCCCAGCTCACCTCTGCTCCGCCTCCTCTGCTGAACGCACCGCCCCGCTATGCTTCTCTGCGCGCCCCTGGCTTCCCGTGAATCAGCTGTTCAGCGGGAAGCCGGGGAGGGCTGAGAAGCAGGTGGCGGCTTCCCACTCAGACTGAGGGTGGCGGAGGTGAGCTGGGGCGGGGAGCGGTTCCCCTGCGCACACACCCCCCAGGTTACCTGCTGTGGCGCAGGAGGCCCTCCTTGCGCCCCCCCCCCCAGCTCACCTCTGCCTCCCTGGGCCTGAGCGGGAAGCCGCGGCCTGCTTCTCAGCCCGCCCCAGCTTCCCGCGCAAACAGCTGATTCGTGGGAAGCCGGGGGGGGGGCGCAGAAAAGCAGAGCAGGGCGGCGAGTTCAGGGGAGGAGGCGGAGGTGAGGTGAGCTGGGGCCGGGGGTGGGGCGGGGAGCTGCCTGTGGGTGCTCTGCACCCACCAAATTTTCCCCTTCGGTGCTCCAGGGCGAGAGCACCCGTGGAGTCGGCGCCTAAGGCGCCACTTTTGGCTGGTTAAATTTAGAAGCCCTTTTAGAACCAGTTCTCCCTCGCGGAACAACCGGTTTTAAAAGGGCTTCTAAATTTAACAACCGGTTCTAGCGAACCGGTGCGAACCGGTTCTAGGGAACCGTTGCGAACCGGCTCCAGCTCACCACTGGGTATATCTTGGACACTAACAGTCCAGACTTCTCACATGCCTTATTGATGTTGTACTCCAAACCTGATCTGGATGGGCTATGTGGGAATGGGGGTGAGAAGATATATCATTTTCCAAGGCTCATTAAGTCCTTTCTGCTGAGACTGAGAGCAAGGGTACAATGTTGACGGAGACAGATTTTCAACAGTGCTCAGCACACTGGATGAGTGTCACAGTGGGAGCTACTGGGTGCTGAGCACTCTTGAAAATCTGGCCCTTAGTGTCAAATGTAGCAGTGGCTTTTGTCCACTTGAAATTGGGGGTTCTGAGACCTGTATTTTATCTTCAATCCTGTCTACCAGCTCTGCCACCTTGCTATATTTACTGACCTGGAAGACGTACAGTTCAGTATCAAACGTTTGGAAACCCAGAGCAATAGATTCCTGTTTCCTCTTTGTCCACCAACAAAGAAACGCACAAACTCAAACTGATGCATTATCTTCCTTTCTATATGATATTACACAAAACACTCATACTTGCCTTAGCTGCAGGCAAACTTCTCATCTTTAGGGGCTGTTCTTTTTTCTAGTATCATATTTAGTAACACTAGCGATAACACAGAAGGAAATAAGTTGTTGCGTGTCTTTTAGTACTTATATTTGCATAAGGGATAGCTAGTATGTAGGTGCTACTGAATAAAATGTTAAATAGTAGTTGAAATTAGAGCCAAAATTTTCCAACTTGGGTGCCTAAAATTAGGCGCTTAAATCCATATATAGGCACCTAAATTAGTGGCTGATTTTCAGAGATGCTGAAAAATCCAAAGTCAGTCAGAAGCCCAAGGCCTCAGCAACTGAAATCAGACTACTAATATAGGTGCCTCATAATGGATTTAAGTGCTTTACCTTTAGGCGTTCAAGTTTGAAACTGTTGGCCTACCATGATATGATTAAAAAGTGTGGACATCAGAAAAACTTGTTACAGAAAACACATAGATCTATGGAGCCTGAACCAGACCCCTTTCTTTTAGCTCCGAACCCACGGGCCTCTACCACTTGAGCTAAAGGAGCAGCCCTGTAGCTGCTGCTGGTAGTTCTCATATCCTCTCTGGGGGCTAGTTGTGATTCATTTGCTCAATCACCCAAAGCCAGTACCGTAGACTAGGCTTCTGGTGGCCCAGTTACGTTTCTTATTGAACCCTTTGCTTGTATTACTGGATGTGAACCTTTGCACTCAATGGAGCCACGTGCTTTTTCTGAATAATAGAACACTTAGGGCCATATCCTGTCTGGAACCACATGGCACTCCCACTCATAGGAATGACGTGAATAAGACTTCCCTGCAGGCACTGAGGACTCCTAAAAATAAAAATACTTAGCTTTTACATTTGCAGTGTAGTTGTAGCCGTGTCAGTCCCAGGGTATTAGAGAGACAAGGTGGATGAGGTAATATCTTTTATTGGACCAACTTCTGTTGATGAGAGAGACAAGCTTTTGGGCTACATGGAGCTCTTTTTCAGGTAGCTCAAAAGCTTGTCTCTCTCACCAACAGAAGTTGGTCCAGTAAAGAATATTACCTCAATTGCCCTGTATCTCTAGCTTTTGTGTGGTAGTTTCCACCCCCAGATAACGTCTAAAATATTAATTGATCCCTATAGTACTCTTGTGAGTTAAGTGTTTTACAAATTGGGACAATCAGATAGAGAAGGTAAGCGGCTGCCCAAGGTCACTGCGGGAATCAATATCACAGCCAGAACGCAGAAGTTTCTGGCTCTTAGTCCAAGACTCAGTCCACTGGACCTCACTCATCTCTCTTGGGGTGCAAAGCACAGGTAAAGGAGGATGAATTCCTCCGTCCTCTGAGCTGGAGATGGGTCTGAGTCACCTTTGCACCCAGGCCATAGCTGCTGGTACAATGTATGGGCCCTAGTAGCAGCTGTAGCTTGCTGTACAGCATCCCTTTTCCTCTGTACACACACAGTTTTGTGGTCCAGTGGATCAGTGCAGTCTGAAGATCTATTGTCCATGCTACCATTCTGCTGTCTACCCACAAACAACTCTAGTCTTGCTTCCTCAGCACACAGGGATGTGGAGGCTTCTGCTTTCTGCTTCTTGCTTCCCATCATAACGTGTTGTTTCTGCCAAGCTTTGGGTCTTCTGTGGCATGGAGGGTATTTGGCCTTTTTAGAGATTAAAGGACATGTTTTGGGTTTGAAAGTTTTTATGGTGTCGTGTAGTTCTTGTTCAGTTCAGATATCTGAACAATAATGGGGTACACATGCACATTGGAACAGATGTGACATGAGGTAAACAGAAAGAGTAACTATCTTAGTTCAGTGATAAGCATAACACAGAATCTAGAAGGTTCATATAAATCTCTCAGGTTGGTTGAGCATCAGAAGAAGAGCTGGGCAGGAAATGATCTTCTGTCCCATGACAGTTTTCAAGATTACAACATTTTTTCCCAAGTCTGAATCAGGACAAAAAGTTGGACTCAAAAAATGTTTATGAATTGAAAATCCAAAAAAAACCCCAAATTCTATTTGGGTCAATCAAAACCTGTCATTTTGATTTTGACCATTTTTTTTTACTTTAATTAGCATAAATTTCTATGCAAAAATTGTTTTGAACCAGAAAACAAGAAATATTTTATTTTCAAAATAGAAACATCTTTTTTTTTTAAAAAAAAATTTTAAATTGAAAAATGCATTGAATCTAACCACTTCCCATTTAAAGTTTTGGTTTCAACAAATTGGCATTTTTTCAACAAAAAGCCCCATATCCCTCCCCACCCCAAATTCCTGACCTGCTCTAATCAGAAGGCTCCTGAGCCTGGTAACTTTCAACTATGCAAACTGTCAAGTGCTGACCTATTGTTTACAGCTATGTTTTCCAGTTCAAATAAATACAATTAAAACTCAAGTGAAGAAAAAATCTGAGACCACTTGCCGGGAGTTCATACCTGGGTGAGTGAGATTTCAGAAAAAGGTCAACTTTAATATAATTCAAGGAAAATTATCTTTATAAACAGATTATTAAAACAACAATTTTCTCTTCTTAAATATTATCCATTAATTTATCTATCTATCAGTAAGCACCCTAAAATTGACAAAATAATCACCACAAACCAGAACATTCTATTCTGGTTCAGTGATATAGAGTACAATGTATAACATTTTGAAACTTCAAGGTGATACAATATACAGCAATCAATTCAGGTACTACTATAAAAATACAAGTAACTTAAGAAAACACTTTTTTTAAAGATTATCTGGATTTACAGAACTCAAATTACTTATTACCATAAACCTTTTCACTACTTCGTGTAGTGCTGTCCATGTGACATAAAAGCAAAGGTGTTTATGTTAATAAACTTCACTGGCCTGAAATTAAATAAAGGAGAGTTCTAACTCCTATCAGAATTTTTGGGAGGCTTTTGCCAGATCACATCAGCACAATAGCAGGCATCCGTGGTTCACTTTAATCTGAAATTCTGGGAAATCTCAGTATTTCTTTCTACATGGAAATGTAATAATAAAATGAAGTAGTGAATTATTTGCTATGTAATGCACAGTTATATTCATTACATTTGTCTATCATTCTGCCTTCTGTGACGTCCTTTATTTGTTTCCTGTCTTTCAATTCTGTGCACGTTGAGAGGGATTTTCAAAAGTTCCAAAATTACGTAAGAACACAAGTCCCATTGACTTTCAGTGGTACCTGTGCTCGTAAGTGATTTAGGCACTTTTGAAAATTCCACCCATTATCTCTCTGTATGTCTGTTTTCCCCAGAGTATAGTAATTCAATATGTACTTTAAAAGTAAACCATAAACCTTTAAAAAAAATACAGCACAAAATCCTGTTTAAGGTCCTTTTCCCCCCAGTGCAAAAGGGCCATCACTTGGCCTAAGCACCACCAGAGGCCTCAAAATAGGGTTTTAGTGGGATTTAAGGGATACAGAAAGGCCAGATCCTGTCCATCTACACAGGGATGCATGTTGCCCTAACAGAACATGGACTAAATCAATGGGACTGCTTTTGTGAATAATCTGAGCAGGTTTCAGGTTTAAGCGCAGACTCAAAATATATTTCCTTGCAGTTGTTAAACTATGAGAAACAGTGAGAATAATTTGCTTGCCGGAATCTGAATTTATTGGCAATATCTGATGTCATCACTAAACTCTTTAGTGCAGTGACTGTGGGTCAGATTCTGTTGGCAGTTTGTTAGTTTGTCCATATACCTGATCTTAGAAAAAGAGGCCATGATTTTGTGCTAGCTTTGATGTCATCATCTGTTGCAGAGAGCACAAAACCATGAAGTCCGATATTTGCAGATTAATTTATATATCTGTCTGTAATTTTTATTTTAAAAAAAGAAAAGAAATGGAGGGCCTTAGCCACAAAGTGGTCACTGAATGACTTTTGAACATTTTTTATATCTTTCATCTGAGATATTGAAACTATTTCACTGTTACGAAAGCAGAATAGGAAAACACTTTGATCACATGGAAATAAAAATTCTAAGATAGCTGTGCACAAGGACTGAATTAACAGGGTTACAAAGAATGTCTGGGCATTCCAGAAGTGAGTTTTAACTTATGTTAACCAAACGCTCTGGAAGGGTTTTTTAGATTTCCTAAAAAATGATTAACTAATAACACTGTCTGAACATTATCTCAATATAATATTGCTCCTTGTGAGAATTTATTTTGCTCTGTATGACTTGAGCAGTATAAATGCTGGAAAACTAACATTGTGCGTGTTTAAAAAGTTTTGATATAAAGGAAAATAGAAAAATGTGGCATACAACAAAGAAACTGTTTTTATTATTATGGCTTCCGCCTAATGGGATCTGATTTCTCTCTCCATTTTTGAAGAATGTCTCATAATTTAAACATAATTTTTGGTATTTGCAGAACTTCTGTGAGGCTAAAATGACCCCTCGGAAATCTTTCCTGAAACATGGAGAAGGCATTGCAAGGCTTGAAAAAAATAAAGAGAACCTTGCGAAAGAACAAGCCAAACATGCCAGAAGAGTTAGTTTTGATTGCCAGAATCTCTTCTCTTTGCCTCACCAACAGGATGCAGGAAAATTACAGTTGGGGAAACATTTAAATCGTTCACATCGACAGGTCAGCAGCCCCACGGTGTTGGTTTCTAATGAAAAGAATACAGATTGCACTATCTCCATGAGTGAAATAAAGGCTCAGGTTGACAGTAAGGCAAGAGATCCTGAGCAATGCCCAGACGAAAGAGGAGAAGGAGGTAGTGGAGAAGAGTGTGCAAAGGAGGATCCTGTTGTACCACTGCAGATGAACTGGGCTGAACTCCTGCAGCCGTGTCAGGAACAAATTACTGAAATGAAGTTACAAATAGGTGAGAAAAATAAAGCTCAAAGTACTGATTCTCTAGGACATTCAGACAAAGCAGACAAACATTCCACGGAGTCTACAGTTCAAAAGGACCTAGATATTGTGGATCAGTGTGGAAAGGGCAATCTAACTCAGATAGCAGAAAATCCCTTGGAAATCCTTCAAGAAGCTTCTAAGCTTCAGAATTTTGAAGGAAGCCAAACCAAGCAGATGGATTGGAGCACAGGCCTCAAATTCACACCAGGTGTGAAAGGAATTAGCAGTTGCCACAATGAAGAGTACACTGTGAGCAAAAGCGCAGAGATCCAAAGAGGACCCAGCACTGGGTTTAAGATGGTTAATGACAGAATAATGAAAATTACCCACAAATCAACTCAAGGCATGGCCAGGAAAAAGAACATCACATCTGTTGGCCACCAGCGAGAGTGGCAAAGCAGTAGAAGTGCTACCAACAAGTGGAATGCTCAACCTTTGTCCAGTGGGTCAGGCTGCACGTCCACTGACAGTGAGGATGACCCCAAATCTTACTGCTCTTGGACTCCCACAACGCACGTGCCTCAGAAAGTAGGTCGCACAGACAAAAATTTGGATCTCTCTGATGCTGATTATGCTAGTGATGAGCCCAGTGGAGCAGAAGAGCTGGCCCTGAAAAAGCACACCAAGCCACCTCCAAAGAAACTGGGTGCTCAAGCGATAAAAGGCAAGCAGGGTCTCTCTCTCAGCACAAGCAGCAGTGAGTCTGGTAATGGGGTTGCTAGGTTGAGAGGAAACAAGTCTTGCTCTTCTCTTCGAAAGTTTCCCTTTTGGCCCCCAAGATCTGCGAGAGGTGGAAGAGAGCCTGAGACAAGGAGTGAGAGTAATGTCGGGGATGTTAAAAATGTAGATCTGCAGTCATCACCCTCAACATGTGATCTGGTGGCCAGCCTGTTCCCTGCGTTCAAAATTAAAGACACCTTTGCAGAGGAGAAGACACAAAGAAAACCGGTTCTGGGTATGCTAGGTAAGGGCTAAGCAAAACTTCTGTCCCGATGTCAGCAGCAGTTGAATTTTTCTTGGTTTATAATGATTCTACACAAGGGGTGCAAGTAGAATTCATCTCTTACCTGTACGCTGCACTCATGGGAGGGACACAAAGAGGGGCACCAGCTAAAGGGGGGGCACGTGACCCCCCACGTGACTCCTCCCTGTCCCACCCCAGCCCAGGGCTCTGCGCTTTCCCTGCGCTCTCCCCTCCCCATGATCCAACCCACGTTACCTGGGGGGGGTGGGCCTCTGTCCTCCTCCCGCTGTGCCGGAGACTTCTGAACCACAGGGCTCTCCGGAACCACAGGCGAAAGGAGCAGAATGTGGGGCCACCTGGCAGCTCCTCCAGCACGGCTGTACTGCCCCCAGCCCTGTCCTCTGACAGGGCTGCTGTACAGACCCCAGAAAGGAGATGCAGCTGCGTGGAAGGGCTGGGGGTGAGGATGGAGGTGGTACAGCCATGCCGGAGGAGCTGTGGGTGTAGGGCCACCCAGCAGCTCCATGTTCTGCTCCTATGTCTTTCTGGTACAGAGTACCGGGCTATAAATATCTTACTGGTACGGCGTACCAGACCGTACCGCCATACTTGCACCACATGTTCCATTAGTGCATGTCCCATCCCATGCCATGCCAACCACCATGCCAACATTCCTCAGCCCTGACCTAGAAAAAACAGGCTCCCAGTGGGGCTGAGGGGATAGTTCAATCTATATGCCTATTCTAGTCTTGGCCTCTTTGCAGAGACTGCCAACAAGGATGTCTATCAGTGCCACTTGTAACTGGTTTCATGACGAGGGCAACTGTGCACTAGGAGCTGGACTGAGCCCACCCACTACTAACTGAATATAATTTAACACTGTTTCGGTGTGGGTGTGTAGGTGTGGTTGCTTAGCCTGCATAATGCTTCACATCTTCACAGCACTTTACAAATTGTCAATTCATCCTCACCGCACTCAAAGTTGGCACCAAAGTTGAGTTGCTGCCATTTTAGGGATGGAGAAACTGAGAGAGAGTTTAAGTGACACATGCAAGGCCAGAATGGCAGATGGTGTGAGATCTGGGATTAAAGCTGGGGGGGTGTCAAATTCATCCCTGGTGAATCGTCAGTGAAGTTATGGCCTGGTCACGTGCTCAGATGCCAACATCACATCTCTCATTTTGTAATTAATTCGTGTTGCTATTAAGCACAGGCAAATGTGCTTGGCACTGTGCAAGACATAGACAGGAAGACAGCCTCTGCCCTGAAGAGTTTTCACTATAGGAGACATTCACCCCACAAGAAAAAGCAGGATGCACTGGAAGAAGCAGAGGGGAGAGTTACCTTACAAACTCGATTTAATCTTATATTTTATTTGATCCTCTTACATTTCTTCTTAATGTGGGGAGAGCCTTGCAGAGGAAGTGGGTTTTCAGGAGGGATTTTTCTATTTCCGTTTGAGCGATAACGACAATACGTGGAACTCCAGTGGCAGAAAAAGAGCCTGCCCTGTGGTTTCTGGTTCATTGGACCCTTGGAAGCCGAGGGCTGCAATTCCTAAAATTATAAAAATACCACATGCCCATGCAATTTAGTTACTTATTTTCTGGGGTTGAGTGGAAGTTAATTATCTATTTATTTATTACTGTGCTTCCACCATGTTCAGTCTCCTTTCCCCTCTGGGTCGGTTTGCTGTCCAAGTGAAAGTTCTGAGAGGCTCCTCTGTTCTGAATTAGAAAGTTTTTGGTGCCGCACCTTTTACTTAACTGGGGTGAATTCCAACTGGATTTACAGTAACCAAAAGCCTGATCCTACCGTCACAACCTGGTCCAGTCCCACTCTCTGGATGGACCTCTCGTCTGTTGTGATTGGATCCAATCACTGAATCCCACATACTAATATGCTCCCGGGATCTGGATATGAGGAGTGGATAGTCACTGTTCCTAGCTCAGGCACATTCCCAGTTGCAGATCCTATGTCTAACCCTCTTCTTGGGCAGTGGAACCTCACAGTCTGATTGTCTAGACCCAGGAACTAGTGCCTGAGCTCCTTGTTGCTTATACACGTTCCCCCACTTGGTTCCATTCTTGGATGTAGGAGCTGTGGTTTTTCTAGTTACACACTTTGGGGACAACATGGCAGGAAAGCAAGGAAACACAGGCTTAGAGAAACATTCCTTATATAAGAAATTCTCTGGGCAGAGAGTCGTTCAATGTCAGTGATCCTGCTGGTAGAGAAACTACAGTAATACAAATAATTAATAATAATTAATTGTTCCACTGGAGTAGAGCCATTCAGTGTTGATGGCCCTTGATTGCTCTATCACACCTCCTCATACACAGACTCTTCACTAGCTGCCAAGTTCCTGCTTCAAAATGGATGCTCAAAGCCACTTCAAAAGTTACATTCAAAATGGAGGTTGAAATACAGCGTGACATTAACAAAAACCAAAATAGAATTTATACCTTGGCCCAGAGAGAGCCCCCAATCCATCACACTTACTGCCAGGTGTAGTGCTTGATTTGCACTAGTAAGCATTATGCTGTATAGTGAATAGTTTCAGGATTGAGGCCCAAGATGTTAATGTCTAATGATGGATATAGCAGAGAAATTTACATTTTCCTGGTCTGTGCAATTCTACTGTAGTTAAATACGTGGACTATTTTCATGAACACACAGTAAGTTATATGTACTAATATGATTGTCTTCATAGAAGCAGCTCAGAGAAGGCTTACTGACAAGTTAGAGGAATTGGAAAAGGAGGTTGGTGTATATCATGGAGAAACCCCTCTTCTAGTGAGGATGAAAGAAGAACAAGAGAAAGCAAGGCATTTGCTCAGGTAAGTAAACTATCCCATGGCATGCAGAACGAATCTAGCTGACCATGCATTACGGCCAATATTTTCAACCTTGGATTCCGAAAGCTAGGTTGTTCAATCCTACCGAAGTGGCCTCATTTCAGTGGGATCTGTGGGTGCTCTGAAAATCAGGCCATTTATGTGGGTGTCCAAATATGGATGTAGCTGACTAACGAGAGGGCACACAGATTTGAAACCTATGGCCAGATGACGAGTTTTAGGGCTTGGATCTTGTGAAATGCTGAATACTCTGTACAAGTTGCTGAGCATCCTGAAGTCACTGTGAGCTGGGGGCACTTCCCAGCTCAGAAGATCAGGCCCAACCTAGTTATCATCCCTATGTCACATTTAGATTTACCCACCTTTATGTCGTGGTAGTTATCCAAACCAGGCAAAGGATGTATTTGTAACTATGGATGTGCCAAGCTTAAAGTTTCAAAAGAGCTGATTTGTAAATAATCAAAGTGCAGTAAAGCAGCTGTAAAATTGCATAGCTATAAAATGTTTGTTTGCATAATTCAAACAATTTTCTACTTGGTTGAGATCAAGCAGGAAAAATTTCAGTCAAAAATGTAATATTTTGAAGAAAATTATGTTTGAAAACAGGGGTTTGGAATAAGGGCACCATCTCAAATGTAGGCACCCGGTAGCCATTGGCATGCCTGTAATAAAATCATAACATGGTTAAATTCAAACCCAGTGTGAATTTTTTTAAAACATGTCCGAAATCTGTTAGAACCTACACTTACCGTATATCTATATGCATCCGATGAAGTGAGCTGTAGCTTACGAAAGCTTATGCTCAAATAAATTTGTTAGTCTCTAAGGTGCCACAAGTCCTCCTTTTCTTTTTGCGTATATCTATTGTAATACAAACTCCTTTTTTTGATATTACTGTGTTCTTTCTATTTCTTACTCGGTATGAGAATATTTTTTTTTCTTATGTAAAGTAAGAGTAATTTCTTGATTTAGATTTTTTTTTTTGCATTCCTTTAAAAAAATACATGTTGCAAACTGAACGCGCCCCCAAACCAAAAGTTTACACTTTTGTATGTTCACTCCCATTGATTTCAAAGAGCTTAGGATCAAGTCCTTTCAGAATTACAGTGTGCTATATTTTTCCTTAGCTAGCCTTGCTCAAAATACTTTGCATTTATTAAAAATTGCTTCAATAAAGATCTTTTTCTGGGTATGATCCCCAAAGCATCCTGCAGGCTGATCTCCAATGGACTGCAATAGGAGTTCTGTGTGTGAGAGTGTGTGGATTTGGGCTGTTTATGTTTAACATCTAAAAAATCAGTCAAAGAAATTAGGCTCCAGTTTTTCCAGAGTTATGTACTGGTGTTACCTTCGGTTGCTAAGTGATGTTTCCATGCAGAGTTAATGCAATACTTTCCCAGACAGCACTGTACTCTGCTCCTGTAGATAGATAGTGCCCTCTGGTGGGTTTGTCTTACTGAGTATAGTGCTTTGGCATCTAATAACAGCGTTGGCCCTAAAAAGAGTGTTGTTGACAGCGTTTTCGTGGAGTTAGTTGTAGTTGACTCTACCATTTTCACAAAGGTGTTTATCTACAAATCCATAGATGGCATGCTGTGTAGTGTAGACCTTTTCATTTCTTCTTTCCAGTTTGTGGGCCAGATCCTCAGCTGGGGTAAACTTGCTTACCTCCATTGATGTCAATGATCTCACAATGATTTACACTAGCTCAGGATCTGGCTCTGTATTTTTAAACTAGTGAGCACATCAGGAGCTCTGGCTGGTAACCACAGTGATATAGCTCTTCCGTTATACCATGTTGACTTTTTTGCCTGGTGGAAGCAATAAGAGCCCTGTTGAGAGAGTCAGCTGGCATGCCTGGACCTGTCCAGGCTTCTGTGCATTCTCTGGTTTCCAAACACATTTTTTACTTTAGGCCTCTGCAGGCATGAGAAGTGCAGACTGGAGGGTGAAAATTCTCTGAGTTTAGACTTTGGCATGTACACAGTGCCTAATGGGAGACTGGGGCAGAGATGGGAGTTAGTAGGCTCAGACTCCACCCAGACAGAACTGAGGTAATTCCTGTTGGCTATGGGAAGCCGTAAGGAGATTAGGGAAGATTATTTCTGGGGAGTTTGCCTGCCATTTGTGACATATAACCTGCAGTTCTTGTTGGATCTACAGCAGCTTCTGGATGTCCAGGTAGCAACAGCAATCATGAGTGCTTTTTCCCTCTGTTTAGCTTAGAGGTTTTCGCCTGGCTGTGGATTTTGCTTCCAACACTAGGGTCTTTATCAGTTCACAATTGGGTCATTGCAATGTGCTTTACATGGGGCTACAGCTGAAGACCTTGTGAGAACTTCAGTTTGCCTGAAACATGGAGGTCTGCTTTGTAGGCAGTGTATTCTACAGGGAGCACTTTACATCTGTGATGTGCACTGGCTGCCAATTCACTTCCATGTGCAATTCAAGCCTTTGGTTTTAATCTATTGTATAAGGCCTCTAAAAGGTTGGGGTCAACCCTAACTGAAACACCTCTGGTCTCTTTGGATGATTCTGCAGCAGATGAAATCAGTTGAGATGCTGGAACTAATTGCTCCCTGGTCTAGCCAAGAAAGTAGGGCATTTGCAGTGAAAGACCCTCCACTTTAGAAATTGCTTCCTGTTGTGGTCCAACTTTGTTGACTTTCTGGGTAACGCTTCTGTTCTCACAAGGGGCAGGGATAGGACGGGCATAAGCAGGGGTGTTGAATTTATTACTCCTACTAGATGTTGGGGTGAGGTGTTAATTGGTTACTGGAGAGATGAATTACTTTTAATGTTCATGAACCCGGAATACTGTAAGGGCTCATGTTTTAAAAAAGGAACCAATGAATTAACTCCAAATGACTCAACCGTAAAGATCTCTCCTGCAGTGGCACCTTCCTTCGGGCAGCAGGAGGAGGGGGCCCGTGGGTCTCTTAATGTCAGTGTTAGTTTCCATTTTGCCCATTAGAGAACCCTCTGCAGTGACAGGCCCAGCTCGTGAGGTGAATGCTCCTAACCACCTCCCTGCTGCCTCATGTGCCTGCCTATGAGGCTAACAAATGATATGATAATATATTCCAACAATGGGGTCAGCGTTTGTGCCAAACACTGATTTCAGTTCATACAAATATGCTACATTCTGGGCTCAGTCAAGGACTTACAGGCTGGAGCTCCAGTGCGGGAAAACGTGCCCTGTACCAGTGCGAGCATCTAGAGGCTTTGGGAGTGGGACAGCAAAATGTCTCCTAGGTGCTAAGATTGTACATTGGACACTTGAACTTTCCATACCTGTAGCGCAAGCATTCCCAGCAGCTCCCCGCCCACTAACGGGCACATAAGGTCTACGGCTGTTCTCACTCTGGGGCAGCTAGGGCTTCCGGAAGCTCAGTCTCCAACCGTGCGCCCTGCATGGGTATGTGTGAGGAAGAAGACACCTGTGCCCTCTCTCTCCTCTCAAGCACAACTGCTCCAGGTTGCGATCAATGGTGTGCCGTCTAAGTATGCCACGCATGCATTGCATGGCCCAGAATTAAAAAACATGGCCCAAGTGGTGGCCCATGGGCCAGATCTGGCCTGTAGGATGATTCTGTCTGGTGTCCTCTGCACAGTGTGGCCTCATGCTGCATAGAGGGCTACAGCTGAAACTGTGCGCACCTGAGACTCTCAGTGATTAAGGACCTGATTTTTTCAGAGGTGCTGAGTACCTATAGCTCCCCTTGACTTCAGTGTCTGCTGTGAATGCCCGAGACCTCTGAAAATCAAGCCCTAAATCTGGGAATCCTGGATACACATCCAAAGACAGGATTCAACCTACATTCGTTACATCAGCTTCATAATCCCCAATTTACCTTTTGAACAGAACACAAATGGATCAGCTTGAGACCAGCAAGGCTCAAGAACTTAATCGCTTAGAAGAATATAAGAGAGACCACATTCACACATCGCAGAAAGAAAAGGTTGAATTTAAGAAGTACTCAACAGCAGCTAGAGTCACTAAAGAGGAAGTAAAATCAGAAGAAATACAAGTAAGCAGTGTATAAAGAAGGGGAAAAAGAAAACGTGATTTTACAGATCAGTTTGTAGTCCCTCCTAGAATGGATATGAGAATTGCTGCTCAAATCATGGAGAATCCACCATGCTTTGAGATAAATTGTTCCACTGGTGAATTACCCTCACTGTTAAAAACCTACAACTTATTTCCAGTCTGAATTTGTCTAGCTTCTGTTTCCAGCTATTGGATAGCATTATGCCTTTTTCTGCTAGACTTAGAAATCACTTCCCTACGTAAGTGTTTGTAGACCATAATCAATTCACCTCTTAAACTCCTCTTAGATATACTAACTAGACTGAGTTAAGTCTCTCCCAATAAAACATGATTTCCAGACCTCAAATCATTCTTGGGGATCTTTTCTGAATCCTTTTCAATTTTTCAATATTCTTTTTGAAATGTGGACTCCAGAACTGACAGAGCATTTCAGTAATGGTCTCATCAATCCCATACACAGAGGTAATACCAGCTGCCTATTCCTACTTGATATTCCCCTGCTTATACATCCAAGAATCACGTTTTCCCTTTTAGCTAGAGCACTGCACTGGGATCTAATGTTTAATTGGTTATCTACCAAGTCCTTTTCTTTGCCAGTGCATTCCAGGATACAGTCCATTATCTTGGAAGTATGACCTACATTCTTTGTTCCTAAACGCATGATTTTGCATTTGGCTCAGTTAAAATACTTGTTGTTCAAATGAGTTCAGCTTGCTAAGATCACTCTCTATAACTGACGTGTTCCTATAATTATTTACCACACCACCAATTTTGGTGTCATCTGTAAATTTTACCAGCAATGCTTTTATAAAAATATTGAAGAGCACTGGGCCAAGAACAAATTCCACTGGGAATCCACTACAAACACCTCACTGGATGGTGATTCCCCATTTACAATTATTAATTGATAGATCTCAAAAATTCAGTTTTTAATCCATTTAATAGGGGCTACTGTTAGGGGGCTTATTCCTTCACCCACTTACTTCCCTGGTCCTTCTCGCATGAACAGAGAGCAACAATACCCGAAGTCCAAAGGTGCAAACAATTCGATGTTTATTGGGTGAACTTCCAGCAAGCATGATTCCAGTTTCCTTCCTTAGTATCCTCCTTCCCAGCTCTGACACCACAGAGCCTTACACCTGTGTCCCTGTTCCCATTCCTATCCTTAGCCAAACATGATTCCAACTTCCTTACTCCCATTCCCTGTTCCCATTTCCCCCTTTAGCAAAACATGATTCCAATTTTCTTACCCCCATTCCCTGTTCCCATCTCCCCCACCCACCCACACACCCACCCCCTCCCACCCACACCCACCCACTTCCTCATTGACTACAGATTATATAGGAAAACTTGAGTGCTGCTTAGCTATACCTTAACCAATCATTTTCCTGAAATTTAACTAACCAATCCTAACATATTGTAACATGATTATGTACCCAATTATATCCCACCACCTTAATTAGTTTACACCCAGCAAAATTAATTATACAGCAGACAGGAACAATCACAGAACCAGAAAGAGATTATACAGACAAACAATAGCAAAGTGGTAACTATAATGACAAGACAATACAGAAGTGAGGATTTCACATCCCAGCTATTGATAAGTGAGTTCTTGCCAGACAGGATGCTATCAAACTAAGTTTCCTTTTACATTTTCTAGGCACTTCCCTTTCTCTGGAGGTGATAGGAATACAATCCTGTCCTCATAGTGCCTAACAGCCCAATAGCACCTTATTTCAATGTGACTAGTTTGGAATGTGAGGATGTGACTGTTCGCTTCCTAGCTTATGGCTGCCTCTGCTGCTTAGCCAAAGGCCTTAGCCTAAGAACAGGGCCTCAGACTGTCACAGTAAGAGAAGGCCCTTACACCAGCAGACAGTGATTTTGATTCTTTCTTTTATACCTCTAGAACTAGCCAAGTGATAAGAATACACCTACATTCTGAAAGTACAGGCCTTTGCAGACAGGCCTGAATATCTTTATCCTAACACTCCACCCCTTTTTTTTCTTTTGGGATCCTCCTGCCCAGGTATCCCTGGAAAAGCATAGGACATATGGCGACACATTTCCTGATAGGGCCAGGCATCAAGGTGGAAGGTGTCGATATTCCATTTGTCCCACTGCCCCTTGTGTAGTATAGTGCCCTGCACCTTCTCTCGTATGGGCATACCATACCTATTCCAGTTAGTGTTCCAGACTTCCCATTATAGTGGGCCCGAGAAGGTTAGGTCCAGGTTGTCTAGTACACTGCAGGGTTTGGAGGGCTTATTACATTACCTATAGGTTATCTCCCTATGCAACGTAACACAAGTACCGTTAACAATTCAAAATCCACAGCAACACCAAGTCCTGACCACTGCAGTATGATCCAACATCCGAGACACCACCAAAACACTGCCTCTCCTCCTTCGACGAGGTCACGATCTTATGTGTCCAGTTGCTGGTAGTTGCAACAAGCTGCTCATGCAAGTTTTGCATGCTTTTGTTCATATCATAAGTCCATTGAATGTTCACAGAGAAATGGGATATTGTCCAAACCAGCTTGACTACTTGGTATGGAATCAGGCAGTATGCCCTGGTTTGATTATTCACAGCAATAAGATTCACAGATCCATTTGTGCACCAAAGTCCAGATAGCTGCATGTAAATGTGTGTAGTTTGGTTATGGGCTGGTGTAATTGTGCCCCCAGTAATATGTACATTCCCAGCAAAACACCTTATACACAGTACACCCAATTGTCCACCCCTTGCATAGGCTTTTGATCCTGCTCCTCTATAGTCATAGGAGAGGGGCACATCCAAATATCTTCTATTGATTTACACTATTTTACACACCCCTCCATTAATTCCCAGTGAGCTCCTCCCCTTTTCATTATTTCCATAGGGCTTGTGGGGGCCACCTTAGTTGCCATTCCATTTCCAGGTACCACGGTAGCTATTACACAGATGCTGGCCTCCTAGTTGAGCATTTCGCATTCCCATACACATCTTCCCCCCCAAGGTCAGCCTTTTGAAGCCATCCCCCACCCACATCATGAGGTTTTGTGTTTATTGAAACCCAAAAATGCTAGCAACAAGACAAACACCACAGACAAACAACACAAAACATAGATCCATGGTATTCTGAGTTATTCTTCCACTGGCGCCAGCTTGCTTGTAGAGTGTCTGAAAAACAAAAGAAACAATTTCCACCCCCCTGTGGGGACAGATTATTGCTTAATAATAATACCACTTTCTTTTACAAATTTCCTTGCTAATTGCAGGAAAAACAGAAGAATTACCTCCAGGCTGTCCTTATTTTGTTCTATAGTCAGGCTAGTGAATTACCTCACTCACTGGTCATTTATGAAATTCATGAGATGGTGTACCTCAGTTTCCCCTCTTGTACAACAGACCAAGTCTGCAATAGTTTCTCTGCTGTACCAAGCTTTAAGTTTATTCTCAGGTAATAGCTGAGACACAGCTTCAGATTTTAGCACTGTACACACACACCTTAAGGTTAACCTGTCCCCCTTATTTTCAGGCTTGACTTGTTTTTTTCACCTCCCTTTACTGGAGGGCCATAATCTGAGTCTTCTAGTAGCTTGTTTGCTGACCAGATGTATTCGTTATTTGCAGCTCCTTTGTGCCCATCAGCTAGGTAATTTGCATTTACACACAGAGGCTTACTAGCTTGCTTCTGGATCCAAAGCTGTTAGCAGCTCAGACACTGTCTTAAAAGGGAAGCATTTTACTTCCACCAGAGTTCTGATTACTTTCATCTCCTGCTCCAAAACACACAGAGATCTGAAAAAGAAAGCACAACCTATTGTGGCTCCTTTTGGAGCCCAATTAGGATTTTAATTAAGTACCATGTTTTATTTGCATTTCTTTTACTCCTTCTCCAATATACACTGCACACGTCCTGGGAAAATGCACATTCCTTCCGTATAGTTTAACCTCCATACATTATATTAGCCATATTAATTTTACACTAGGTGTAATTGCCTCCCCCATGCCTACAGAGTTTTCATGCACACCCACCAAAGCAACAATCTAATCCCCCAGAGCCATCCCAAGGCTCAGTGTTCCCATCATTCCTCCCCTTTTCCTTTTCTTTTACCTGTGCGCACACACACAAAATTCTGTTTTGCCTAACATCCCTTGCACTGTGATTACTCTTTTTACACAACTGTACCCCGATTACACTTCCATCTTGTACAACTAGACACAACCAGGGGCAGCCAAGTTAAGTTCCAATAGAAACCCCTTCCATCCTTTAGTGATTTTGATTACATTACCCAAAAGTCAGATAATTTTGATCAGATTCTCTCTCTGCCTGCTGCCTGCAGCAGTCCCTTACAGACCATTTCTGTGGGAAAAGGGCCCATTTTCCCTCAGAATAGCTGTAAAGGCTTCTGGGGAGAGAAGCGTAGTGATGGTAGTAGCCACTCTACCTGACCCCCTTGGAAAATTTAATTACCAAGCTTCCATCCAATGTGACTGCACAGAGTTGCACATACGGTTACATGTATATAACTGGGTTTTATCATTAAACAAAAACTTCTTTCTTGACATCTCACATAAGTATCCAAAGTACCCTCCAATAAAACTTCAGAAAAACAAGAGTGTGGAAAGGCAGGTTGCACTTTGAAACTTTTTTTTTTCTCCACTCCCCCAGAACCAAGTCTCAGATCCAGTCTCTAAAGGTAGTCTGTTAACTCTGCTTTTGACTTTAAACCCTTTTGTGCTAAATCATCTTTAACTACACCTAACTAATTTACAACCCTTCAGCAGCCCTTGCTGAAGCAGCACCAAACTTGAAAGATTACTGGCAGCTTCCCATAATGCTGCCCTTACTTCAAACCTCTCACAAGCAGACTGAAGTGCCTCCTTTCCCTGGAAGGCATTCAGTCCCCATGGGCAGAGACCTTCTTCCACTACCCATGTACCAAGGAGGGTGGGCTCCTCAGCCACCCCCCATCCCCCTGGGTCCCC